TATTTTAGTTAAAAAAGTTTTTTAGGGTGGTACAAATATATATAACAAAATATTTGCCAATTCAGCCATTTTTATATTGGCATTGACTGTATTCTTCATGTTGCACAGCTATTCTTTTCCAGATCTTCCCCCACCATCAACATAAACTCTGTGCCCCCTAAGTAGTAGCCCTCCCTTTCCCCTCGGGGAGCTCATGTTGTAGTCAGTGTGAATGGTGCCCCTGGGATATGCAATGGGTGCCCTGCTAGCACCCAGAGAATCAGTGCGCGTTGGATTGTTCCCCAGTTGGGGAGGTGGGTTTCACAGACCCGACTCCCTTCCCACTGTGGCCCTCTCTTGACATGAAGCTCTGCCAGGCACAGCAGCCCTCTTGGATCGGGGGGTAGACTTGGCCTGGGGGCATCAACCCAGGACCCTCTCTACTTTCATCTAGGAGCCTGGAGAAGCCCCTGTCTAAGCAGAGAACCCTGTTAGCCATAGCAGTCTCTGAGGGGTTGCTTGAGTAGAAAAAGAAATCCTTGTGGCCAGACTTAGGGCTTTGAACTGGCCAGGCTCTTCCTTGGGCTTAGGGGTGGGGTGGGGTCTGGGGACATTTCCGTGGCCTCACTCCTTTTCATTCCCGTTTCCTCAGTGACAGTGCATCCAGCACCCCCAAGACCCCAGATGGTGGGCACTCTTCTCAGGAAATCAAGTCTGAGACCTCATCCAACCCCAGCTCTCCGGAAATCTGCCCCAACAAAGAGAAGTAAGAGAGTCCCACCCTCTTACCACCCTGAGGGAAGAGCTGGCTTTAGCTGTCTGGAGCCCTGGAATATGCTCACTGCCTCCAAATAGGCTGAGGGGGCACCTCGTGTCCAGGAACTCCATGGAACGCAAACACTGACAGAGAGGGGTGTGGGTGGGTAAGCTCAGCTCTCCCCTGGGCCTGCTGCGCTCCCTGGCCCTGCAAGGTTCTGGGGCTCCTCGTGTGTGAGCAGGCCTGCCTTGCTTCCCCGTTTCCTGCAGGCCCTTCATAAAGTTGAAGGAGAACGGCCGAGCCAACATCTCTCGCTCCTCCTCCAGCACCAGCAGCTTCAGCAGCACCGCGGGGGAGGGCGAGGCCATGGAGGAGTGTGACAGCGGGGTAGGTGTGGCCCGTCCGGCCTCTTGATGAAGTGGGATGGATGGAAGCAAGAGGTAACAGTCATCCATCTCCACCTTCCAGGCCAGTGGTGGTGGAGGAGAAACCCCCCCAGAGTGACATAGCTCTAGCAGTAGTAGAAGGACAGAGGCCAGGTGCATGGTATCCCTGCCATGGAGCTCTTGGCAGGAGGGGTGTCAGGGCTGAAGGCAGCAGGAAGGAAAGAGCGGGTCAGAGAGGAGAGTGGGAGGCAGGGGCTGCCGTGGTCTGATGGGGCCTGTCTCAGGCCTGCGTCAGACTGGGCCACACTGTGGGACTTGGAAAGGCCCCTGGGAGATGCAAATGACTTATGCTCGACTAGTAACCTAAAAGTTGGTGGTTCATACCTACCCAGTAGTGCCATGGAAGAAAGGCCTGGTAATCTGCTTCTGTAAAGATTATAGCCAAGAAAACCCTATGGGGGCAGTTCTACCCTGTAATGACACCTGGGGTCACCATGAACCAGAACTGACTCAATGATACCTGGTTATGGGGCTTGGAGGGGCTACAGAAAGTCTGCTGC